GACAGGAAACTCTATCTGTGGACAGAAGGGAGTTGAAACTCATTAAAACCTGTGGACCTGATTATGTAGATCCCACAGGGTAAAGCAGGTACAACACATGCCTTTGTGTATCCACACAGGAGAGAGGAAAGAAAAAAACTCATCAGCTTACAAGGAAATCTGTGAATATTTACTGAAGGCAGAACTGCACTATGCAGCTACCAGAATAGATCACAGATCCTACACAGGAAAAACAGGAATGGTGGTGCCTGCTTCCACACAGGAGGAGATGGAAGGCGTATGTGAATCTGTGCACGTGTGCACATCCCCAAGTCCTTGCCAAAGAAACTACAAGCATATTAGTCAAACACATAATGCGACCTGGATTTAACCCACATCTCTGGCAAAAAAGTTCCTTACTGAGGGCTGCTGTAGCCTGACCAAAAGGCGGCTGTGACCCCACCCCCCCCCCCCCCCAAAGTGAGTCTGTCTCAGAGCCACAGTGTATGAACTCACTAGCAGGAGCTCTGAGATCCTTCTGGGCTGTAAAAGCTCAACCTGAATTTCAAAGATTCCCCTTGAGGACCACAGATGATGCCAGGACCATACACGTCCTGACAAATAATGCCTTTTCTTTTAACAAGCTTATAGAGTTCTCAGACCCAACTGTACGAATAACTAACTTCTCTCAGCATGATTTGCACCTACTATGGCAAGATCATGGATTTGGCTTGAGGACTGCACCTAAACTTGCCTTTCAGTTTTAAAAGACTGCACAAACTCACTTAAAAGCAATGTGATACAACAACAGTTTCAAGAACAGAACTCCTGATTCTGAGAGACTCTGGTGTTTCCTTGTATCTGCACCTGATAGAAACTATTTCCCAGCCAATTTGCCTTTGCCTGACAGCAAAGGCAAATAGAATGATTCACATCTGGAGATAATATAACCCTGGATGTTATGTGACCTGCATAACACTCATTACTTTATCTCTTCCACATACCATAAATAGCAATGGACTTGCCTCTTACATAGGTAATAGTGTAGTACGTAACTACCACAGAAGGACCTAATACTTCTTCATTTCTTCTGTGATGATCATGTCTTTCCTTCTGCCAATCAAGATGGAGACAGTGCTCAGGCTCCACTTATCCCTGCAGCCAACCCACCTTGCAGGTTGCTCTGCATGATGACCAGGTCATTCCGAGGAAGAGTTCCAAGGTGCAAAACAGCACCTTGTTCACAGTCATGTTTTGCAAATACAGAGATAAATGAGGAAAACATGCAGTTTGAGGAGAGGCTGTTTGGTGATGACATTTTTATCTGTGCTTTATGACTTATTTGTTGAGCTGTTACTTGCTTCACAGCAGTTTTGTTGATGATGTTTTTCACAAACTCCCTAGAAGGTCACAGAGGCACCATGTTTGTTTTTGTACATTAAGTTAAACCAACTTGTATTTAACATCCAAACAGATCTGCTGAGAGTTAGGTTTTTAGCTGGAGAGGCCATCACCAGACAGAACAGGATTCAGCCATTCCTAGCACCAGGCAAAAGCTCTGACAATCCCTGTACTTGGACACACAGCTCCCATGGTGGTTTGTGAGCAGGGTGAAAATTCCTGGTGCAAATATGAATCATGGTATATTTGAAATTCCTTTTCTATTAAGACTGTTCTGGTTTGGTTTGGTGGGTTTTTTGGTAACAGAGGAAGGGCCACAGGAGTGGCTCTGGTAAGAAGCTGAAAAGCTCCCTCTGCTCCAAAACCCAACCAATTAACACATGAAAGAACAGCTATAATACCTGAGCAGAGAGGCACTTGGGGGGAGAAGGATTGTGCTGGGGGGAAGGAGGACAGTGCTGATGGTTGATGAGGAAGAAGGGGAAGAGGGTGCCCAAGCAGAAGTTTCCCTGCAACCCATGGCAAGATGGC